CGCTTGTCCGCAGATTGAGAAAGCTTATATGTATTTTATTAGACGGATTTTAGCTTAGAGTTTGATGCAAAATAATAAAATTTCGAAAATATATTGCTATCACAATTGATAATAAAATTTCGCAATAGTAATTACTAATTGTATGTAAAATCATAATGCAATTTTATACGCATAATTGCAGCAATATCTCTAGTCTACTCTGGAGCGCCGATAATTTAATTAACGCGGCATTTTTTTTATGAGATTTTTCGAATAAAATATATGAGCTAATCAAATATTTATAAAGTAGAAGAGTCCATTAAATATAATTTTCTCAAACAGAATGACAAATTGAATAGATTGGTACAAAAATACATATATTAGAGAAATATACTAAAGAATTAACATATTAATTTATCATGTCTTATTCAAACGAAGAGAACATTGAATTTCTTGATTTAAATTTTTTTATTATTCTTTATTAGTGCATAGCTTTTGAGTTTTAATGTAAATTATATGAAAATTATAAACATTTAATATTTGAATTAACTTGCCAATAATAACTACAATATTTAATCTGTAATTATGGCAACTTTAAGGTAAATACCGCTGAATTTTCAAGAGCATTTCGTTTTGGTAAAGTGAGAATTTAATAGCCGATGAGACTACATGCTCTTGTATGTTACTCCTATAACATCCTGAACGTTCTATAAATTGTGGAAAAGCGTCCTATTATATTCTCGTCGCTGGTGTGCTCGTTTTACTTATCGCTGGAGATGTATCTTGCATCCTTAAGCCGCGCAATAGGTTAAAGGCAATTTGTCACGGTACGCGTTATCGCCGTCGTAAACTTTCTTCTTTCATAGTAACTACACGCGGAAGCGGGCGTGCCTTTAAAATATATTTGCTATAAATTTCATTATTAACTTATTAAAAATTTAAACGTCGCATCTTTCCTTTTGATATTAAATATGAGAATGTAACGCGCATTTATTATTCGACAATAGCGTGTGAATAAAACGTACGGAGTAATTTTTTGAGCTCCCGTGATACCTAGTATGCGAGGCGTAAAGGGACAATCTGGATATGAAAGAGGATCGATACGCGTTAAAGGCTCGAGAGGATCGAGTTCGAGATCGCTTCAATGTTCTTGCTAGCGCCGTTGCAAGATATAATCGACGGCGTAACGAAGTTGCCTTGGAACGACGCTACGATGTAAGTACTCGCTCGAAGCGGAGCGATAATGGCGCGACTCGACGTGGCGTGCGCGCCAGTCTCTAATAAATAGTAATTAGCGAGCCGGTAATTAATACAGAGCGATTCTAGCAGGCAGGCACAAAGCATCGCGCAGTCTTTGCACCCCTATCTGCGATCGACTCCCCGGTCAACCAATCAACCTCAAGGCCCACCCGCTATTTTCCGCACCTTCTCTCCCCTTCGTATTTTCTATCTTTCGCTCTCTCTTTTTCTCTCGTGTGTGCAATGACCTCGGTGCTAATGCGACGATTATACTAATAAAATTTCCGTCCACTTTACGACGCGCGGCGTCTATGCCGGGGCGAGACATTAGGAAGCGAGGAACCCCAGAAGAAGGCAAACATTTGCCCGCCTTTCACCCTCGCGCGAGCAAACAACGGCTCGTAGATCGAGTTCATCCTTCACAGGATGCGAAAGTTCGAGGAGGAGAAGGAGCGGTAGTAGAAATTCCTGTTGGAACTCGAAACGATTAAAGAGGCCCTTTGAAGCGTCATATCGCGGTGCGGCGCTTTCTGGGAAATCAGCCAGGATAAAGCGGCGTATGACGGTCTCCCTTCGTAGTAGCAGCTAATGACCTCGCGCTTAGTTTCGATGTAATTCGCGTTCAGTTTGATATAGTACGCGAGGATTATCAAACGATGCGAAACTCATTCTGAAGTTTGGTTGCTACTATAATACTTTACGTTTCCATTAACTAATTTCATTATTAATTTCGAATTTTAAATTTTCGCGCCAAGAGGGCGATTTTTTTCTATTTTCTGATATAAATCAACTAATCAACTAGTCTTGTGAATATACAGGATATAGTCTATGCCATTATAAATAAAAATTATCGCATCGGTGATATATTTAATATTTAAGAAAAAATCCAAATGGAAGGTTTTATGTATTATATATCGTACATTCGATGCGCCGTTCTTATTTGTTGTAAAGCTATTGGACTAGCAAATTTGATCTGGAATTGTATACATAATTATATTAACAAAAACCTATTAACGAGAGAAAGAGATGCGTGGAGAGACCAAGTGAATATTCGCTCCGTAAACTTTACAGAACTATGGTGGCCACTTGTACTTAGAGCAAAGTTATGAAGTGTCATTAATTATAACTGTACGTAACTTCCTTAGTTTGGATGCGTCTCCAATCTGTTCATTACATGACTTTCTCTCGCTACATTTACTTCGGCCTTTGTAAGCATAGTTACGTTATTCTAGCTCTATGGCATCTCTTGACATTATACCGCGAAGTGTCATGTATTTAGAAATTATATAAATTTTTTTAAATCAAATTGAATATCTTTTATTATGCACGGTGCATAACTAGGGAATTAATAAAACTGTTATCCTTATTTGATACAAATGCAATCATTGTTATGGGGAAACCGTTTCAAGTCTCCCCGGAGTAATCCATTGTTACTTACTCATGTGAATTTTGATGAGCATATAAAAGACATTGAGAGAGTTATCTGTTATGCACGGCATCGCCATTGCGCGACACCGTTGCTCCCTGAGGTGCAACAATAATTATTTCTAATTTCCAGTTATGCAAAAATACGCAAAGCTTAAGTACTCTAGATAATAATATCGGTCTCTTCCTAGGTAACTCCCGGAGGTAACGTAAATTTTCTCTCACGAGAAAATATCTAGCCGACTATTGAGAGAAGAAATAATTTCGAAACATTTTCAATATAAGTCGGGACTCTATGATTTCTTATTTTTTCATCGCACGTTTTAATTCTTCCGATTTGAGTAAAATTTATTTTTGTAATAGAGATACGTTCATTTAATAATAGCGAAAAATACTGTGCTCTATTTGCAGATTTCCAAGAAATTATGTATGTGCATGTCTGCTGATACCAACCGTGAACTAATGAAGGGTAAAATTCACATGCATAATTTAGTATACGTAAAATACGAAAATCTGATTAAATACACATGTATTGTAATTGTAACGAAAAATACGCTTTAAAAAATGCGCAATGAAAATCGAACAATATGTATGTACTGGCGATAGACACTGTTTTAAAGTCGCAAAAAAATATTATTTATAATATTTGCATAAAGATATTACAATATTCATGTCACAAGTCACCTCTTCTCACGATTATGATAATATCTGGAAAATATTGCGTTTCACGTAACTTTTCGAACGTCACTATTCCTTCTAAAGTTTTAGCACTTCGACACAGTTCGACAAACTTGAAACAACGGGATTACAACATCGCCCCCATTTGTGTGCGTATATATTATCTATCTCTAGTGGTGTATCCAGTGTCGTTGCACTGTGTGCATGTGTGAACGTGTGCGCATGAACGATATAACTTTCAATAATTTCCCGAAATAGCAGCAGGTTTGGTATATACTATGCTTCAAGCGACGCATACATATTTTATAATGTGGGGTTACATTATATTCACATAAAGCACAGCGCTATCCCAAGCTTTGTCTACATATTGAAGTCTTTATAGCAGCAAGTGGTTTACATCAATTAGTAATTGGCATGGAAACCAATATGTATTATTAAATCGTGGTGCATCGAGAGCGCGCGTATTCTTTGCGCGAGAGAGAATCGCTGCCCGTTTGGCCAAAACTTTGCGCGCTCCGTTAAAACGATCCGGATTATCGAGAATGCATTACAATAAATTCCCGTGTAAGCATAGTGAGCCATGTGCACATTCGATATACTGGCGAAACACTTCGCGTAAAATCCGAGTGATCCCGTGGAAATAAAGTGCGCCGGATAGCGTTCCGTTGTATTTCCATCAAAGACCACGGGTTTACGCATTTTCAGTCTATTTTTTTGTCCTGCACAAACTCCGCGATGTCAGCATATTTTTCAGTATTCAAATAATCCGTTATTCAAATTCATACACGTAATATATTACAACGATATATTATAACGTACAATTTTTTAGATGTGATTTTAAAAAATTAGATGCATATGTAGTTAACTTTTGCTCGCGCGGAAAAAAAAATTACACGAGATAAAATACAATCGAACATTGCAAACTACGGGGTCGGCGGTCTCATTAATTGCTATCGCGCACGAATAATCGCGCTTGTCAATACCGCGTTTCTATTATTATACAAGTGTTTAGCACAGCGGTACGCTGAATCGAACGCGACCGTACGTTAATCGCACATATGTAATCTTCATGCACATGCGCGCAGCAATGTTCAGGATCGTCACGACCAGCACAAACGATGTTTAGTCGTAGCAATATACTAATGGTATGTACATAGAAATATAGAGAAACGAATATACGCTGAGTATATTTACAATGAATTAACGGGTGCTTTAATGCAAACCTCCCCCTTTCGCCCCTTTTCGCCCCCTCTTTTATGGTCTACAACCCATTAGTTTAAACAGATACCCCACACTGTCGCGCTCACATCTGCACATCTACATAATCGGTACCGGAGTATGCACCAAATTAAACACTCTCCGTTGAAAACTGAACTGTGTTATATAACGGTATCCGCGGGTTAGCAGAATAGATTATATTACGATTCGATTTTCATTATGTTGCTCTTTTCATGGGGCGCTCGAAACCACCCGCGTTTATATTAAATTATGAAGGAATAAATACGCATTCCTGCGAGTTTAAATTTTAAACTTTAAAGAGATTTCTTTTATAAAAGTGTGTGCACATATTTTATATAATAGATATATATTGATAGAAAGTAACGTATAAGAGTAATCAAAAGTGCTATATAATTTGGGCAAATGTTCTTAGAGTATCAACTTGCAGTATCGTTACTCACCCGAATATGTCTCGGTCGGCATTTGATCACTTGGCACAGTGAAATTTCCTGCGTTTGGTGGGCAACCATTTCGATTTTGTTGCGTGCGTAAAGTATGCGTTGCGTGTAAAGATGGTCCACGCGGTGGTACTTCCGGCGGTGCGGGCTCCGGAGGCGAATCCCTACCGGTATCTGGAAATGCAAGACATTACATTTGTGTCTATCGGATGCACGTTGTTTCTTGCAAATCGCATTTTTATAAAAAGCATGAATAACATTTTATAAATGATATATAATAACATCTATATAGAACATTGTTTTTTTGCAAACAAACGCGTGCTGTGTAATTGTATCATAGTTAAATTAGATCGAATCGATACATAGTATTGAATCGATTATTTAAGAAACCAGATTGTTCTTATTAATATTCAATAAATTTAAAAAAATTTCGAAAATTTTTAACTTTCAAGAAACTTAATTTCATAATTTTAAGATAAGATAATTTTAATAAGATTTTAATAAGATAAGATAATTTTATATAGATTTGGTTTCTCAAATAATAGATTTATTTAACAAATTGATAAATTCAAACTGTTTGTTTTTTGGTTTATCTTGTCGATTATTAATTGAACGATTGTATACGGTGTAAATCCAATCATTTTGCTACAATATTCTCTTGTACATCGTGGCATTCGCGAAATTCTAGCCTGGCTACATTAGAAATTCTGCGAGCAATTAAGCAGCATCAATAATTAGGCATCTTCTCGCTACATTTTATGCATGCAAATTCAAAGAATCCATCTGCAATTGCACGATGAAATTGATTACCCATTATAAGCGAAGGAGTGTACAAGGAAATACTGAATAATAATGGACTATAATTGAGATATTAATGGCGTATTGCAATACTAGCATCATTAACCATAAATGCACATTAAAAGCTATGACAACAATACGACACAATCCGTTATGTATGTCTCGTTTAGCAGATGTCAAGTAATCATGCATATGTGTGTGTGTGTGTGTGTGTGTGTGTGTGTGTGTGTGTGTGTGTGTGTGTGTGTGTGTGTGTGTGTATGGGTTAGTATAACGGATGTATTTTCTGAGAATTTTATAAATTCTTGTGTTTTAAATATAAACTAATTATGACAAGCTTTAACAGCAATAGTAAAAATTTTCCATTTCTAACGCCGTCTTCTCACCGTTGGCCCTTCGGGGCTCAGTGTTGCGGGTTCTGCAGTTAAGTTACTTATAAAGTTGTTCAAACTTGAAAGGAACTTCACCAAAGAATAATTAAAGTTACCTAAACATAAAGAGTACAAAAGAACGCCTACCAGGCATGTCGAGGGCAACAAAAATATTTGAGAGTGTATACCCACGAAAAGTTCGTGTCTTAGAGAGAGTCGGTCAGCATAATTGATATTTAAAAATAATAAAACATCGATTTAAATAATGCTTAATTAATATATTGAATATATTCGCAAAATAATGATTTTAATTTTTATATCATACATATATGTGTGTGTGTGTGTGTGTGTGTGTGTGTGTGTGTGTGTGTGTGTGTGTGTGTGTGTGTGTGTGTATTATCTTGACTTGACACATTTTAATATTATTTGTACATGTACCAGTTATGGGAATTAACCGAAACAACCGATGGTGACGCAATAAACCGATACTATGTTGAACATATATACATAATTGGAGCAATGTATAACCATTAAAGGTTGTTAATGTTACAGAGCACATTATTGTAAATCAAGTTTAACTGCAATACAGTGGTCTATCGCGCTTTCGTGAAGCTACGTAACTTGGTTGCGGTAACTCGGATGTGGGATAATGGAATTTCGGTCCCTGGTCCTGCGGATTAAAATCTATTAAGCGAGTCGTTATAACTTATGGATGTATGTTGTAGATGTCAAGACAATTACTCGAACCACATAGTAAACAGTAGTGAGTTTAACATCTTATAATTATCGCAATTCTTTACATTAGCAAACAAACAACTTTGTTTAACAATTAACGAGCAGAAGTTTAAATAAATTTTTGCAAGAGCAATAATATACAAAATATATGAAAGATATAATCTTTTGCAAAATTATATAAAATAACGAAATGTTTTCATCTCATATTTCCTCGCGTCATATTTGCATGATGCGATATTTTTATATAACGCTTATAAAATGCTAATGCACATCAATTTAAACAATAAAACTATATTTTCTACTGACCGCTTACATACCTGTAAAGTAAATAGGCCTGGGCAGACCTGTGTGCCAAGAAATGTGCAGAGAGAAAAGTGCATTAGTGCGGCGGAATTAGCATGTGCACATGTGAAAATTTCAACAAAAAATTGCATCATGCAAATGATATAATTTGCCAAAATTTAACTTATCATATACAACAGATATATTTACATTACTATACTAGCTTATGTTTAGGCAAATTTTCACTATAGAGTATTTTGAATGAAAATTATTCAATCTCCCAATTACTTGGGCGCATTTCATTAAGATTCTGCAAATGGTAATATTAGCTATCAATGTAGGATAACAATAGGTTTATGTTAATTGGTGATTTCTCGTCGATAGAATTATGGAGTTTCCATTAATTAATTAATGCGCAAAGAGCCAGATAGATAGGAAGGTGCTATTTCGTGATTAATTTAATAAATTCACGCGAAAGATGAAATATATCACAAATGCATATCAGAATGCGATTGAACCGAATGACACCGAAGGTTAATGCAATCGTCATGTCTGCACGTGAATTATACGATAATGATACGAATGCAATGCGCTCTTTCTCTTCTTGACAACGCTTTGCATCGAAGTTATACAGATTTTTCGACAATTTTCGTTATCACTTAGCCAAATCGAAGTCTAATTAATCGCAAAAATTATAAACGCGAGGAATTATTTCTGCGAAGTCACGTGGGAGCTGCATCGATATTTTCCGTAATAAGCAGTAATAATCGCTTAATTAAACCGGACCGTGAAATGCGCAATGCGTAGCTGTCATCGCCAGCCGCGTCCGTCGCATACCTCGGACAACTTTACCATCGAAATATACATTTGTTCCAGTTATATTGAACAATTTGCCGGCACCGTTCGAGTGCTCGAAACACCTGTAACGCTCAATTACAAAGTCGATATCGCATCGACGATGGATAGAAAAAATCTCGGCGCCGCGATGTTATATCGCAATAGAGGAGGGCCACGATTCCCTTTGAATCGTGTTACTTTATGCGACTTATAATGCTTCGTAACGATGTAGTCTAAACTACGGAATACATTTCCGCTTCGTAATCGTTACACCATTTTACATCCGTACGCGGCATGATGTAGTACCGAATTAAAGCCTGGGTAAAGGTACATATTTGAGGAAGATTCTTCTAAAATTGCGAATACGCTATGGATATAACGTTAAATCGCTGGAGTGTGGACACGAAAGAGTTAAAAACGTTTGAATTTATTTAAATCAGAAATATTTAAATTGCCAAAAAGAAAAATCTCAACACCGAGTGCAGCAGAATTTTATGATTGAGTGAATTTTTTAGTAAATCAATTATATCAACAACAAATATCTTTTTTTACGTACTTTTTCATGTCGATGTATTTCGATATTCTATCTCCCTTTATTTATTTCACATAAAAATTAAAGATTTACAGATTTTCACGTAAATTCTACTAAATGACTTATTGTGCTGTGTATGTAAATTTGTCAGCATAGCTAATTAAACGGAGCAAGGATAGGAGATAACGTTGCCCGCATGTGAAGGTTAGATCAATACGATTCCAGCCAATTATGGCTAATACTGGTACATCATTGATCAGTGGTCAAACCGCGTTACTGTCTCTCATAAAGCATAGGTTAGCGTTTACATAACGCGCAAAATAAATCATGCAGCTTCTGATGGCGATAGGCGCAGCGCAATCTAATTTTGCAAAATGATAAACATGATATAACTCTATAATATAGATTTCGCTATTAACATCATATCACATATAGCCTATGATTGAATTTAGATTTATTACACTCGGATTAAAATTCATTCATTTATTTATAAATTTAAAAAGGTTTTCTTTTTAGTTAAAAAAGATCACTTTTCTCATTTTATATTCAATAATCGTAACATTTAAGCAGTTTTAATCACATGTTAAGTAGTTGTAATTATTATTAATTTTACTCATTGTAAGTCTTAAATTTTCTTAATTTTTAGAAATGCCTCTATATATAAATAATAAAATATATCAAAGCACAATTAAATTACTTTAAATATTTTGTTTAAACATTTTTCAATTAAAAACTCTTAATTTTATTGATATGACATTTAGCGAAATTTACCGATATTGCTTTGGATTGTTATTACAGACGTGACACGCGTACACATAGAGCTATTTGGCGTTGGTGCGACAGCTAATTGGACATATTATTGAGCAATATAACCGTCGCCGGGGCGGTATGTCTTGGCCAATCGTTGGGGGCCAATTATGTAGCGTGCGCATCACCGATACCGAGTTGAACCGAGTTACCTCTTGTCCGCGAGCGGCGAGAAGGGTTAGTCAGACAGTGCAAGGGGATGCAAGGTAGCCGACAGTGACTTGATGCGGTTAGCGATTCGCGTCTGTAATTCGATTTGTCGGTCTAACGCCTCCGCGTCGGAGAGTACACATTCATGTAAATACGAATTATTTGCCGACACTATACCAGAGCGCAGAGTATTGCCGCGATGGTAGGTGCTGTCCGATGGCCAGTCCGACGAATCGTTCCGGCTTGACTCCTTCCGGACCAAACAGTCTAATAAACCGAGTTAGCATTCGTGAATGCTTCGTCCGAACTGTCTCGTACAATTTCTGCGTACCGCGTTCGTCGCCTTCATTCGCGCAGAACACACAAAATTTCAGCCGTCAACTACCATTTATGTACGATTGCTCAATCGCTGGAGCATAACAATCTTTTAACAATTTTTAACTATTTTAACAAAGTTTTTAACGATTTTTTATTGTATTTTCAGACTTTCAATATGAAAGTGACGTCGTGTTAACTCCCCTGTGCGTTTCACCAACGAAAGAGTTCTCTAAATCCCTTTTTTTCTAGTTATCAAAAAAATAATCAAATATATTCGAAGTAGCATAAAAGTCTATCCATAAAATAAATTTTACGACAATGAATTCACGAAGAAAACTCATAAATATCACGTCGCTTGTAATTCGAGCATTATACGATAATTTATGACAATTAAGCTCGTATCGATCGATTATATTCTATTTGAATTACCTTATTACTATTTCTATTTTATTTACCTTAACGTATTGCGCGGTGATAGTTAAAAGTAATAATTTTCCAAACCAATATTGTAATGAAAAAATCATTTATAAATCTAACGTTTCGCGATTTTATTTCTCGCACATTGTTTTCATCGTCGCGCTCTATCTATATTTATCTATATTTTTTATGACATAAAAAATAGTTATTATTCCTCTTTCTATTATAATAATTAAAAGATTGCATTGCAAACGATTAAATGTAATAATAGATTCGCGGTGTCATAGATATTCAGCTCGGAAAAAGGTAATCTAAAAAGGAAAGAACGATAACGGTAATGGCGAACACGGACTATTGGCATAGTTCGCAAGTGGTGCTTCAAATTATTCCTATTCGGCGAAATCTGGCATTTATCCAGCACACTTGCATGTAGCCTTCTGAATGGTCAGTGTAGCAAAAAAGTATTCGATTATAGTTAGAATTGTGATGGGAATTAAATATTCTTGATTAAATGTTTTCTTCTTAAGCAATGAATTATTTATTCCACTGTATTATCAATCGTTTATCAAAAATACTGGCGCGCATTCGTTGCGATGCACGGTTTTTTAAAAACTTTTCCTCGACTATATGAGTCAATTGATTTCGCGCGGATTTATTCCGTTCATATATATATGCAGCACATACTGCAAACTACCTACATCAATCGGACGAATTGATAGCATCAAGCTTGCTGGTGCGCGTGATTCGTTCCACGGCATTAAATGCAACAACCCGCATCAGAGCCCGTCAAAAATTACCAACCATCATTGAACGATTGCGAAAACTCGCGGAAAATTTATTTTTCACCGACGATGATTTGTTTTTTTGCGTACATTTACGTGGTGTGCAATTATTAATTTTTATAAAAATTATACTTTTTTTACTAATTGATATAATTGCATATCCTGAATTTAATAATTATTTGATATTCGGATGAAGTAATAAAAATTTAACAAATAGTAAATTGTAATGAAATAATTTAAATTATAACGAGATATTTTATTATATTTATTTATTTACTCAATTTTTTGTATCTCTAATATCTATCAATCTTTATATATTCTGTACAAAATTAACGCTCATGAAGAATTATAATTATGCATGCGTGTTAATTTTTTATCTTATGGCTATAATATGCTTATTTAACGAGGGCGTTTTATGTTTTGCGACAGTAAATTAATGTAATGTAATGTTATCGGCTTTCACACGTTTCACCAATTCAATAATACGCTTCTGGACTAGGTCACATTAGACTACGGCGGTCTAATGTAATATCAATCGTCTTTCTGGCGATGGCGCGCACGCGGGGTTAACGCGGGTAAGCTCTGACCGTTGGGAGCCATTTGCTAATAGATGCCGCGACATGCCTCCATTAGACCGCAGGGACATACTGGCAAGCAATATCCCATCGGAGATTCAGACTCGAATTACTGCTTACGAGATCCTGGTAATTATACGTGGGATCTTGCCGCATCTTATATAACGCTGCTTGTCATCATCGGCATTCTCGTCCATTTAAATCATGCGTACCTCGGATAGTTATATTGTGCGTTAAAAAAATTAAAACAACGTGGAAAAACGTGTCAATTAATTAATATCTCATTAAAATAATTTTGAAATGGTGATATTAATTGAAAATAAAATAAATAAATTTAAATCACGCAAAAAAAATTAGAAAGGGTGAAATAAAAAAATGAAAAATCTCTCAAGACTATTCCATCTTTATGCATGGTATATTCTTTCATTATGGTATATCAATATATATATAATATATATTAATATATATATATGAAGGTCAAAGTGTTTTTTAAATAGGAACCCCATTTTGATGTATATTCTTATAGCTGACCTGAGAGCTTCTAAAACACTATAATAAAATATTTTTCCTCAAGCATTTATCGAGTTATGATGCTTCAATCATTTCTTAATTTACATAAACCGTAAAATATCTTGTAAATATTCACTTTTCGATTATTTTACCTTAAACTTTATGTACAAATAATGAGAGAATCAATTGGCGTAAAGAAAACATATAGTGTTTTAAGAAAAAATATGGAATTGTTAATTGCAAATTACATATTTTTCTTAAAACAACTATATGTTTTCTTTACGCCAATTGATTCCTCTCATTATTTTGTACATAAAAGTATTAAGGTAAAATAATCGAAAAGTGAATATTTTACAAGATATTTTACGGTTTATGTAAAATTAAGAAATGATTTGAAGCATCATAACTCGATAAATGCTTGAGGGAAAAATTATATATATTATTATACGATATAGCTTTTTTAAAACGCATGCGTTGCAAATGTCCACGAGTGAACGTCAGGGGTTTAATTTCGCATCGCTAATTTCTAACGCGTAATGCGATCGCGCATTCGGGCAGACGGGAGAAATGCGGCCTTCGAAAGCTGAAATTCCGAAGATAACCATCTACGAGGTGCGGTGGAAGCTCCTTATCTCTCGCCTCTCGCGTACGCTTGCCAGCTTTCCATTCGACTACCCTTCAGCGTCCTTTCATCCACAATCTCGCCGTCTCGCGATATCGGCAAGACTAATTGGCAGCCAGCATCCCTTCGAAGCCGACGTGACCGCCGTCGCCGCATCGACGTCGCGTCGGCACGAAATGAGATCCGGCGAAATTTCGTTTAAAACTTAGCCGACGAGCGTAAGCCGCTCTCGTCGACCGCGGCCACCGCGCCGGCTCCTCAAAACCGCAAAGCTACTTTCTCTCGTCTCCTGGCGGTCGGAAATCGCGTTCTACGATGAGGCGACGCTAAGATAGCGCGCGCGCAGACCGGCAACGATCTAAAATACTGTTGACGTTTCGAAACAATATAGTTGCTAGGGTCACCCTAACTTCGACGGGTAGCCCTATGCTCTCTAACTAGCCGAGCTCAGGCGCCAACTGTTAATTCCGTTAGCCTCGGGCTCGAATCTTTCTCATTCTCTCCCGCGTTCGCGTTGCCCTGCCATTGTCGTAACTGTTACCGACACTGTCGGTGTTGTCGCTGGTATATTACTGATATCGGACAACAGTGAACTTAACTGCCAAAATGAGAGATCCTATGGTTATTTAATGAGCCGACATAATGTAGTTTGTCGATTACAGCATTATTCGCTGGACGATAATACGGTTCGGAAACGTTTGCCTTTGCCAAGATCTTTCGCCTTTGGCTGTTTCGCCAAGCTTTACAGTTGCATGTCGGTGAAAAGAAGGGATGCTCGTAATGAGGTCAATATTCGTAGTTAGAATCGCGGCTATGCACGCGTAAATATTTATAACTTTATGACAAGATTAACAACAGAGATAGCACGTTTTCTTGCGCTCTTCGAAATTATTGCTGAAATAATCGTTGATGAGAATCTGTCATGATTAATAGTAATAACTACATCTTGCATGCAGAGTTTATAAAAGATCGAGAGATTGAAAATGTGCTCTATCTGTAGTACTTTGTTTCGTTGCAAACATACAATCTCGAATGATTGATGACGTTTACATAAGCGAAAGTCTTGGAAGGTACAAGAAAGTTTGAATATCGAATTCTACGTGTAATTTCTTTTTTTCCGCTTACGTTTCCGAATGACTATTAATATTAAGCTTTTAACGAGGAACACGTTTACTCGAAACCCGATTTAACTTCGGCCAGGGGCTCGATACCAGCCAGTAACTCGATTAGTCCGATAATCGCATTTGAGGCATGGATCGTTAACTTATCGCACCGCGGCAAATTTTACGTCGTGATTTAAAGGGTCGATCCGCTCAGGGCGATCGGTAAGAATTTATTCTAATTTTTCACAATCGAATAGATTTTTGTTGTTGAAATCTTTAACGTAACATCAGTTTTATACTTCTCGGTTCTCTGAGATTCAATAATTACAATAATCGTCTAAAAACAATGTTACGAATGGCATGCGATATGATGCGATGAGGTCATGCGTATGAGGTAATAATTGTGCAATAATACGCGCAAAGGAAGCGTGAAATTATTGCCTTACCATTAGTAAGATGTATGCGAGTGTGTTCATCGGGGAAGACAGTTTCGGAACGGTCACTCGCAGTAGAACTACTGCTCAAAGCGCTTGCGTGACCTCGGCGTGTTCTTCGACCTAAGGTACCACCGCCGGAAGCCGTCTTTTTTGCGGGCGCCGCGTAAACGGTATCTACAATAAAGAAGATACGAATATTTTTAAATAGTCTGATATATATATATATATATATATATATATATATATATATATAAAGTTCTTTTCTTCAGAAAGCGTCGGTTTTGCTAACGAGCGAGAGTCGTGCCGCTTAATTCAATCTTCCATTAGCGCGAGGACAAAGAAAATTCTTGAATCCTTTAATCCTTTCGAAATTACTTTTAAAGAAACGAAATTATTTGTAAGATTAAGCGAAAGCGCACATTTTTCATGTAAATTTACTTGTAACTTTCAACAAGTATATTGCGCCTTAAAATCATACTCTAAAATTTTTATGTGATACAATGAAATGACGTCAAGTATTTATATATATGGCAACATCTTTTAACGTAACTAAAAATATACAGTATTTAAAATAAATACGAAATATATTTTAACGTGAAGTATCTATATATATGGCAACACTTTTTAACGTGATTAAAGATATATAGTATTTAAAATAAATACGAAATATCATGTTAGGACGGGTTAAAACTGTAGCTGTCATATATTGTGTCATATCGATGTCATTTTAAATTGTCTCTCTCTCTCTCTCTCCCGGAACGAGCTCATCTTGCACGCATTACAGTTTTAATGTACAGTATAAAATTGCATTTGATGAGATTCATCTTGCGGTGAGCCCATAAGTATCATCTTGCGTGCACATCAACCCGTTCACGGTTCTAATTAACTCCCTACCATTGCCGTTGCGAGATCTCTCGGAAGATATGCTGCCGTTATAATGATGCCGGCGAGAGTTTGTGCTTTCGAGGGGAAATGGAGAAGCTTGCCGATGATTTGGTGTCAAGGTTGGAGGCGGTGTTGGGTTGTCCGTGGTTGCTGCGCCTTCCGTGTCGGATCCCGTACGGTACGATCTGTCTCCCGCATCTGCGCATAAATTAATCGCACGTTAATGACGCTCATTTTTATTACTTCGATCTTCTTAACCAAATATATAACATATTCTTAAATTAATTAATTAAATAAAATCATGTTTTTACAAATGCGTTAAATTTTTTATCTCCAATACGGAATTTGTCGATAGATTAAACTTTCATCGTGTTTTATCTATTTTAATTTTTAATCCGTTAAATTTTGTTATCCTCTTAATTCGTTTTATCCGAGATTATATTTGTAAATGAGATATATGAACGCACAGCTCACCTATCTTTTCATCTATTTCGAGAACACAAGGCCCTTTATAAACGTAACTATTATTCTCTGTTTTAAACAGATCCTCTACCGTTACCAACTATACATCGTCTCTATCGCCACTTCTCTGTCAGATTTGAACATTTCGTCGCGCGACGCTACTCTGATCTGCATTTGCTTAAGTTGGCAGACGTCTAAACTTTTAAAGGTACTTGTCACGTAAAATTTACTCTGAGGGAGCGTGCCATTATTCGGTGCGATAGCGAAAGATAAGAAATGTGTGGAATAGAGGAGACTTTTTTACCATAAGAAATACGGTATGTCAGTGTGCATACGCACGATGCGTGTTTGTATAGATACAGCTGTATTTTTAACTATGTTTACGAACAAGATATACCGAGAGTTATTTCTTTGAGGTATATTCAAGGATACGCAGGGATGATGCTGAAAAGATAGAGTGAAGCAATATAGTTAGCCGCACTGAAGAAGGAATTTCTCTGTATGACGTTACACTTTCAATCACCTCTCTGTCGATGATAGAACGCTATCGTGAAATTACTTTTACTTCCAATTTTCATTTATCTTTGCCGTATATATTTGATGAAAGTTTAGTAATTAAGAAAAGTAGCGTCATACTTTGTAAGACATCCGTTATGGATATATATCTTTTTATTAGAAGCAAATGACTTTGCGATATTGCGTTCAGTCTGTTAATTGGCAGATAATTGCCGGTTGCAGGAATGCACGTTCTAATTCACTATTAAACTTCGTTGTGGCGGACAAAGGGGTAAAATCATAGTGAGAAAAGGTTGGGAGTTTTGTATGGAAGGGAGGACGAGATCGAATCTTGTCGGTAATTAATGAGTAAAGTTTTACAAATAGCCGAAGGCATAGTCACTAAACGCCTTAGCGAGCTCGTGAATCCCATTCACAAGCAGAGTACGCAAAAGTAAGTTTTTAATTGATAATTATCCTTTCTCGTGTGAGGAGAAAAGATAGGCAGCATCGAGCGATACTGTTTAGTTGATTAAAAACGGGGGATGAATAAAAATATTTTGACGTGCAACAAGAGATTGTGAAATTAAAAGCAAAGCATGTATAAAAATGTATCTACCGATGTAACATAGGATATCACATTCAACTATACATATATTTAGTTAATTATTTAAACTCGAGATATTTTGCGATTTAATTAAGCGCAAATGAAAAAATCGAATATACAAAATTGACAACCTCCTACATTTTCCATCATCTTTGTTCCATCATTTCTCGCAATAATGAAAATCGATATTTGAGCGATAGAAGAGGCTTAACAAGGCGTTAATTACATTTTCGCGTTGCGTTCTAAATGTTGTTCGCATCGAGATGAACGCGTTCATCGGAAGTGACGCGCCACCGCGGATTGACAAATCAGATCGAGCGGGAACCTACGCGCGAGCGCGGAACAAGCTGGAGGCGACTCTTGCGGGTTACCTCGGGACATCAAAGATTCGAAGTGCTTTCTGCCGTCTTCTCCCTTCTCGAAGCCGCCGTTGTAAGCGCACTCACGATATAAAGAGAGATACGGCCAAGATGGGCACCCTGATAGCCGAGACGTCTGAGAGTGAGTAGCCGAGGGCCGGGGCAGTAGCGCTGATATTGCTCGCATTAAACTTTCATATTCAATCTTGCCACCCACCATTGGGGCCCCCTTTCCCGCGGTCCCCTCCTCTCGTCCCGCTCTGCCGTACGAAGAGCCCGGCATCAACCCCACATGTAATTGTGTTATGCCCTCTTCTCCCTCCGTCATCTTTCTCTCTCTCTCTTTCTCCCTTTCTCTCCCTTTCTCACTTTTCAGTAAACCCCGACTCTTCCTCCTCCTCCGACCTTTCCTCTTCTCGTCTACCCATTTCCCTTCGGCACGACCTCGGTCACCCTCCCGCTCACGCGATTCCACTATGCCCTCGCGATGCTCTTCCTTTCTATATTGGATTTTCTAATCCATATGGATTCGAAAATGTCGCCGTAACGTTTAAGAGGATACGTCGGCCGCTTGCTCCATCGCTTTCGGACCGGTGCAACAAATGATTGCGATTACTATTTCTTTCGATTCATGTTCTTCATTGAGATAGCGAGATATTGGCAAATAGTAAAATGAAACATTTCGTAGACATATATATATCATATCGCATAATAAAAACTGATAATCGACTTACATTTTCTACGTTTCTTTTAAATTAAAAAATACAATTTTTAAAACAACATTAAAAGGATTAAACATGAAACATGACTCGATGTGAGAGAACTTCGCGTAAACGCTATTAGTTTTAGTTTAAATTAAATTCTAAAATCGCCTTCTCTCGGCTTGAAACTGATAATCAATATTTTGTAATAATACTATAATAATACTACTTGATAATTATTAATTACGGCAGCGTTACAATATCTAAACGGAAACTCTCTCAGCATTCATCGATGCACTCGTGCAATGTGCATGCTCTCATCGATCGCGCGAGAGCGTTAACCACGTAACAACATCTCGCCGGCACGTCGACGTAGCAAAACGAACAGTCGGCGCTTATCTTTAATCGACCGTTAATCATCGGCGCCGATCGCGTGCTCACCGGTGTCCCCTTTCGACACTCCCGGCAGTCGTGCGAGTGCACGGGCTAGCCGGACGATTTATCTCGCAAAGCACACGGGGACCGCCGCCGTCCCCTCCGACACTCGCTCGGAATTTACAGTCGTGTCTCGTCCTGTCCGGTGGCATTTCTTCACCCCGGCAACGGTTCCTTCCGTGGCGACTAAACGCGCGGCGGGTGGGCACCGGCGCGACAAGGAAAACCGTGGCATGTCGTGTGCACACGATGCATTTTGTTTGTAGGGGATTGTTGCCATGGCAGCGAACTGCGAACATCGAATGCACTTTGCCCCGGCGCGGCGCGGCAGCACCGACACGGCTCGTAGACCACGAGCGAGCTTGCGGAAGTGTAAGCCTCCGGCTGCTTTCGCAAGCTCCGCGCAACGGCCCGTGTATACCTGGACGGTAGACGACGCAACTTCGGGCGCGATGCGCCTTAATTTTCTCCATAATTTCGCTCGTGAACGGAGATGCGTTGCTATCCGTAGTTAACACGCGTCTCTTCCTTCTTTAATGATTTTATATCGTGTTAAAATACGCGAATACAGGCTGTCGTATCGGTAAGATATTGTACGTCGCGAAATAAAATTCCATGTTATAATATCGTATTTATGCAGACGATAATCATCAAGCGGAATAACTAATCAACAAATGATATAGAAGTGCATTAGGCATTATTGCAATATACAGTTTCTCTCGTAAATGCACCTTACAGGAACTGACATTTGTGACACACACATAACGTTGACATAAATTCTCTCTGAATATCATTTCAATATGCAATAACATTGCAATTTTCTTATATTTTTATTCAAATATTTTTCAACGTAAATTAATATTTGCGTTGAATATTTAATCTTTTTTGATTATAATTTATATCTTCTTTGTCGAACATTTTGGACACATTTCTATGCTTTTTAGTATCAGCTGTTACAAAAGGTGTACATGTGTCAAAGAAAAAGAGAAAAAAAAACAAGGGATGCGAGACGCGTTTTTCGAACAGCTGTCGCACGCACAAGGAACAATGGGATACCTACGTCGCGACTCATATCGAAAACCAATTTCCGAGACGTCAACGAAACGAAATCGGATGCTAGAAGAGGGGGAATTTGCCGACGTTTTTCTAGTAACTGCCAGAGGTTGGAGATCACTTTGAGCGGGAGAGTTTGGCAAGATGGAGGAGTGGCTGTACCTTCAACAGGTGCAAAGTGTCTCCGTTGAAAGGGCCACTCTCCGACTGCCTCCATGCCTCTAACCGTCTCGCTCCGCGCCTCTTCCTTCCGCTTCTTAAACTGCAAGCTCTTTGATAGAAAGGCTAAAGCGACCCGCGTACTCGTACACTAGAGTGAGACGAGACGTATATACAATTACAACGGCTCATAATAAGCCGATGCTCCGTTTGAGAAAATAACGATGCTCGCTAATGAAGTAAGCATACTCGCCGCGCTTCGCATTCCGTTTACGACAGTGTGTTCCTTTATTGCGGAATATTTCGAGTCTTCTTCAATGCGAATAATTCTCCCTTGTAGCAAGAGCAGGTCGTAAATATACATCGAGCTTGTGATGAAATACGATGTGATGGAAATTGTCGTAATGATATTACTTATCTCTCGCGCGCGTTTTGGATATCGATATTGTACATAACGTGTTCGAAATTTAAAGAACATTTACTCTCTCGCTTTACTATTTTTTTGTAGAGTTAACTGAAATATATGACAGATATTTAATTATTAAAGAATGAAAATTATTATATTACAAAAGAGTTATCAACTATATGAGTTATCAGTATTTATGATTGTATGATTAAATAAAACTCTAGATAGATAGATTTTATAATATATTCTTATAGAATCTTAATAATATCTATCAATCTCATAAAATGTATTTCCTTTCTTTTTTTATAAATATTATATAAGAATAGCTAAACTGCAATGATCAAAATTATTCTGTTTATATAAGATCAACTTGTCAAAAGGTATTAACTTCAGAATATCTCTTATTGAAATATAATACATAAAAAATACATATTAATAAAAATTAAAGTATATTATTATACATAATATTATACATAAAGAAATATATTACACAAAGGAAATTTAAAAAAGCATTTATCATT